TTGAAGTCCACAAGTCTTAATGCTGTCAAATTTGAACACCTGTGGGGTTTTTTTTCTAAAGGGTTAGGGGTACAAGGGTCTTGTAACTTGACAGCTTTAAGACTTGTGAACTTCAACTCCCAGAATTCCTCCTCCAGTCATGTTGGCTCAGGAACTCTTGAAGTGTGCAAGTCTTAAAGCTGTCAAGTTACATGGCCCTTGCACCCCTAACTCTTTAGGAAAAAAAAGCCCAGGGGTGTTCAAACTTGACAGCTTTAAGACTTGTGGACTTCAACTCCCAGAATTCCTCCTCCAGTCATGTTGGCTCAGGAACTCTTGAAGTGTGCAAGTCTTAAAGCTGTCAAGTTACATGGCCCTTGCACCCCTAACTCTTTAGGAAAAAAAAACCCAGGGGTGTTCAAACCTGACAGCTTTAAGACTTGTGGACTTCAACTCCCAGAATTCCTCCTCTCGCTCTTCATCTTGATGATGTGCCGACGGGCGGGGGGAGGAGCTGGAACCGATTCTAAACGGCACTGTAGATTTGTGGAACCTCTTCTATAGAAGAGGTTAGAACTGGCAGGAACCCACCCCTGAGCTGGACACATGAAATTCTGATAGTCATTGATGCTATATCTGTAGATGCTGTGGAAGGACGGAGAAGGTGTTATTTTGCATGTACAATATTAGGAGGAGCTTTTCAATGTGACCATAATCTCTGCTTCAATGGTGAATGTGCTAATCTTATTTCCATAAGGTTTGAATGCTTCAATGAGCAAATTAAAGTTTCTTTGTGGCCCATTTATTACCTGCTTTCGAAGTAGAAAGACTGCTAATTATTTCTGTGTGGAATAGGCTTGAAAATTACTCTTGCCATTAGGTTTCTAGCAGAGTTATGAATATTTCACTTGGAAGTATATTTAGTGCTGGATGTATTTTCCTGTGGAGAGAAGAATATTGTTAATTTGGCATAAAACTTGGTTTCATTTTCTGGTGGTTTTCTAGAAAGCATCAAAATTATAATCGACAATTATTAAACAGTTATTTAGGGGTGCACTATACTTTGTTGGGGGCAATACTGTATAAACAAATATGTTCATATAATTTGTGAGTGTTTAGTAATTTCACAATGTGAGAAGGCAAGACCCTCAGATTACCCTTGTCACTCAGATCACTCACCAACCCTAACTAGTCAGTGAGCCTCAAGCAATAAAGCAAAAAACTGCTTCAGCTTTTCCACTCATATTGATACCTGGGCTGAAGCTGACTAAGCATATCTCTTGCTTAAGATATTAGCAAATATCAAAACTATAAGAAATATCCTCAATATATGGAAATCATTTACATACAGAATAAGAGTCTCCATATCCATCACCCAAGACCAACATCTGGACACACAAAAAGGTGAAAATTATATCACCCCGCAGTTTGAGAAAACTGCCTTTCCTCCTTAACTGGACTCAGCACGATCCCCAGAGGAAAACCATATTTGCTTGCTTTCCAATACAAAGACCAAACTTTCCTATAAATATTTCCAAGCCTGCCTTTCAATATGTAGTCACCAGTGCAGGTTTCAAAAATCTTTAGAACCTATTCTGTAGATATGGCCTGTTTTGTGGGAGTGGCTCGGCAGTCATGTGACCGGGGTGGGAGTGGCTTTGGGGAGAGGGGGAATGATTTGCTCCCCAGGTCCCCATCCATTTCTCTCTCTCTCTCTCACACACACACAGCTGGATAAAGCTATGCAAAAAGCCAGTGCAGCTTCACTCACTACAGGTTTTAAAAGGCAATGTGGCTCCGCCTGCAATCAAACTAGACTGGTGGGGGGGAGAGCACAAGCAAGCACTGAGGAGGCAGGAAGCCAGGCAAAGGGGCATGCTGTAGCACACACACTTTCCCCCAGCCCTGTTCTTCCAGAAGACCCTGATCGGCTCCCCTCCGGCTTCTCTGCCTCTCCTCTCACCCCAGCCTACCAGCAGGAGGTGAGTGGGTGACCTTTATTGCATTCCAGGCATTTTGCACCCAGACAGCATACTGCATTTTCAATGGGGGAGGTGTTTGGGGAAGGCAGCAGGGGAATGGGGGGGATGGCAGAGGAGCTCCTTTCAAGCCATTGAGATATCCAATCCAACTTCTGTGTGTGCACGTTCAGCTTCACTGACCGCAGGCTGCATCAAACTTCACAAGCAAGGTAAAGAGTGTGAGTGAGTCTGGGCCCTTCCCTCCAGCCTTTGCCCAAAGCCCCACACCGCACCAGGAGGATGAAGTTTGAATTTCTCCCCCTCCGACCTACGCACACCTTTTCAGCTGCTTTAAAGAGGGCTTCAATGCTGCTCTTGCCTCGGGTCCTCTGAAGAAGCCCCTCCCTCACTTCCTTCTCTTTGAGAAGCACCTTGCAAACAGGGGCAGGCCAGGGGAGTGTACTGGTACGGGTGTGTGGTCACGCCGCCGTGGAACAGGTATGCAAAAGTACAGCACATTTCTATCCCCGGTATGCCTGTAGTGGTGTGTACCAGCCGTTTCACTATCAGATAAATACTACCACTTCTTCAAGCAGTTGTCCTGTGCTATTTAATTCAGTTAGGAATAAACCAGAATTTTTTTCTAAGCTGGTGTCATCTAAGATAAGGTTATAAATATGGTATAAAACCAGGGGTGGGCTGCTGGGGATTCGCAGGGATTTGGGAAAACCTCTAGCTGAGATGTTGTGCAGTTCGGAGAACCCCCAAATCCCACTCCTGGCTGGATCCACCCATCCAATCCCACCCCTCCCAGGATTCCCCATGTAGCCCGTTTTGGATGCAGGTAAGTGCAGGGTGGATGTGGAGGGTCGGGGAGGGCAAAAAATGGGCCTATCAGAAGTTCTGGAAGAGCCTCCCTAGGCCTCTGGAGCCTGGGGAGGTTGTTTTCACCCTCCCGGAGGCTCAAGGAAAGCCTCCAGAGCATGGGGAGGGCGAAAACGCCCCCCAGTGGTGCAAGAGGCCAACTAGGCTATGCCCACCATGGCCATGCCCACCCAGCAACAGGGCAGAGAACCCCTTGCTAAAATCTTTGAAGCCCAATCCTGTAAAACTCAGCATAGTTCCAGAGAGTTTATGAAGGACTTAAATATTAACCTCTATTAAGCTGCAGCTTTTCCAGTAGTGTACCCAATATTGGCCTTGTGGGGTAAGCCAGTTATGATTCAAACAAGATGAACTTACTTCTACTTTATTGTACATTGACAGAATTTTGCAAGAAATTTCTGTTGTCTCCTTTACAGCCTGAGAAATTAGGTTGTCTTCTGAGTCTCTTGCCCTGCCCACTATCCAGTTGCGGGCTATGCTGTGTCTAATCTCAACATTGCCTTGGCAGAGACTCTTTTCCCAGTGTCCCAAGTCTCCCAATATGCCATTGGGAATAAACCATTATGCTCACTCAGTTGCTATCGATATGTCTTCTTTGACGACTTCAGCCAACTTAGTTAATCATATTAGTTTCTGCTGCACATTGTGGATTTTCAGTTGTCTTGTTCTATATAGAATTACATATGTAAAGCATGAATATGTACTTATTAAAAACAACTTTATAGGCTCTTAAGTTTCAGGAAAGACCTATAGTCCTATATGACTGAGGTGGCGCAGTGGTTAGGGTGCAGTACTACAGCCACTTCAGCTGACTGCTAGTTCTGCAGCTCGGCGGTTCAAATCTCACCGGCTCAGGGTTGATTCAGCCTTCCATCCTTCCGAGGTGGGTAAAATGAGGACCCAGATTGTGGGGGCAATATGACGACTCTGTAAACCGCTTAGAGAGGGCTGAAAGCCCTATGAAGCNGAGATATTGGAACACTGCTATCATGTCTCCCCTAGTACTTCTTTTCATTAAACTAGACATACCCAGTTCCTGCAACCGTTCTTCATATGTTTTAGCCTCCAGTCCCCAACAACAATGTTGCTTTTATAAATAAAGGGAAAGCTAGCACGAATATAAACAAACCTAGTTTGTTATGTGGAATTATGAAGGTGGCTTTCAAAATTTGGATTCACAAAGTATGAGAAGTAACAAGGAGCAAAAGTTGTGAAGGAAGGTGTGGTTTTACTCTAGGTAAAGCACGTGCAGATAGATTATACTCCCTCCCCATTTAGCAGATATTGTGAAACATGAATGTGAAAAAGTTTGCTATATGAGGATTTAGAGAAAACATATAGTAAGTTGACTAGGTTTGAACAGTGTAATATTTTGCACATATACAAAGTTGAAAATTCATTGATTAAAGAGATAAAAATAGTGTCCGTCAGCTTCAGAGTCGGCAAGTAGTACATGATGCAAATAAAGCATATATTAAAATAAATGGAATTCCTTAATAAACTGATAAGGGAATAAGAGAAAAGTCTGCGTTCCTTCCTTAGATGTTTATTGCATTTATGAATAAATGTGTGAGAATGTATAAGAAATGCATGTGGTGACATAAGACCATAAGGTGTTAGACATTAATACATTTATACTATTATATGCAGATGATTCTCTGTTGTTGGCTGAGCATATGAATGATTTGCAGTGAATATTAGATAGGCTGTATGATGCATGTGGAGTGTGGATCTGAAAATTAATGTATCACAGAGCAGGTAATTGTAGTTGACAGAAAAAATGGAGTGACAAATTATGAGTTATACAAAAAATAGAAAAATACAATAAGCAAATGAATTCTAGGTGATAGAATGTTTACTAAAGATGGAGAAACGGATAAAAAAATTCAATACATGTGAATTGTATATAGAAAGATAGTGGATAGGATTTTGTCTCTTAACAATGAATGAATATGTGTTGACAAAAAGAAGTGATTTTACAGATGCTTCTGCTCCTTTTGTAATATGGAAGAGAGTTGGGCATGTTGTAAGAAACAGAAAACTAAGTTGAATTCAATGGAAATGGTGTAAAGAAATGGATGTGATAAGAAGAGATAGAATTAAGAATGAATGGGTGATAAAAAATAGAAGGTACAAAAATGAGCAATCAGTATGAAAGAAGTTTTGATGGTTAAATAAGATATACAGAATCATCAACAACTGAATTACAAAATTAATATTTGATAGAAGAATGACATAGGTTGAGAGGAAGAAAAAGTCCAAGCAAGTCATTTTTGGCAGGATTTGATGAAATTCTCAAAATGTGAATGCCAGAAGTTTAAACAAGAAAAGGCTAAGTAGAAAGAAGTGAATGAGCACAGTGGAAACAAGAACAGAAAAATCTGGAAATATCCAAACAATCAACCTAGATGTTTTATCTTATTAACAGATACTCATCTAGTAACTAAGCATGTACAATATTTTTTTATATTGCCCAGAATGTAAACATAGGGAAGCTTACGGAGCTCGTTGTCAGATCTGGAAGTCATCTTTTACCATACCCATATGATGGCCAGCTATATAAATGTTTTAAATAAATATATTCCATAGATGTTCATAGAACTAAGCCAATTTTAGTTCGGCTGTTGGCAGAATTAGATGGGATTGAAACGTATCTTATACCAAGATTATGAAATATGGTAAATCATATTCACATTTAGAGTTAGAATTAGTGTTCATAATATATGAACCAGGGCTATTTACATATTTAATTGATTTTTCCTATTATGGCAAAATTGAGCATTATTCAGGATTTGCAATGAAAGGGACAAGGAAGGGAGGGATAGAAACTCTGGATAGGTAATCCTTGATTAATAAGCATTCATTTCATGAGCATTCATTCAGCGATCATTCAAAGTTTGGAAAGCTTTGGATGATCCTTGAAATTCTGGCCATCCCAGCACCCCTGAATTCACATGATCACAATCTGGGCTTTTGGCAACCAGCTCACACTTATGATGTGCAGTATCCTATGGTCACATGATTCATGATTTGTGACTTTCCCTGCTGGCTTCCCACAAGCAAAGTCAATAGGTGAGCTGGCAGAGAATGCCACAAGTTGCTCATGTAAGTCTCCCCCAATTGTGCACTCTCCCCACTTCTGCAGGACTTGTGCTGTGCCTTGCTGGTCACCTGCACACTCTTGTGCAGCTTCTCTGAGCCTGGATGTGCTCATGCTGTGCCTACCCAGCACTTGTGCGCTCTCTCTGGCCATGTGCACATCCTCATGTATACCCCACCCCCCAATCCAGCAGCAGCCACCCTGAGCATTTTTGGCACACCTCTCCACCATCAGTGTATTCTTATGCAACCTCCCAGAGCCTTACTACACTTGTGCCAAGCTTTCCTGGCTACTTAGACACCCTTCCTGCTCACTTGTATCTTCATGCACACCAGGGGTGGGTTTCTGCCGGCATTATTGCCGGTTTGGTGTGCGTGTGATTTTGCATGCACAGTTGTCTATAAATAGGTCTGCACAAACGCAAAACATTGCAACGATCGGGGAACAGGTTCGCGGCCTGGCAAGCATGCCATCCCTACCGGTTTGGAGACCCAGTCGCCATTTCCACTACTGGTTCCATTGAACTGGTGCGAACTAGTAGGAACCCACCTCTGATGAAAACCCTCTCCTACCAGCAATTTCAATTCCCACCACAATCACAAAACCTCCCTTGCCACCCACACCCCCTTGTTCACCATCTCCAAACCTTACTACGCCTGCACTATGGCTCCCCCACCAATAGCAACCACTCCAAGCCGTGCCATGTGCCTACCAGGCCTCCTTGGCACTCTGCACACTCTCTCCCTTCCCCAGCAGCAGCCACTTACCTGCTTGCAAGCTGCTTCAGTCTTGCAATTTCCTGCCAGCTTCCCCACTGACTTTGATTATTGGAAGCCAGCAGAAAGTTGTGTGGTGGTGCTGGCTTAGTGACTTCAGATTCTCACTTAATGACAACAAGTATTTCAGGGATTCCCATTGCTAAGCATTGTGGTCACATGAGTTTGTCTTTGTGACTGCATTGCTTAGCAATGGAAATTCTGATCCCAACTACTATCATAACTCAAGTACCTTCTGTGTAACAAAGATGCATAATTTCATTTGTCTGAGGACTGCACTAGCTTTTGAATCATATATGTGGGGATGGGGCAGTGGTGGGGTTCAATTTTTTTTACTACCAGTTCTGTGGGTGTGGCTTGGTGGCCGTGGTTTGGTGGCCGTGGCAGTTAAAGGATACTGTAAAATCTCCATTCCATCCCCACTCCAGGGAAAGGATATTGCAAAATCCCCATTCCCTCCTGATCATCTGGGACTTGGGAGGCAGAAAATAGATGGGGGTGGGGCCAGTCAGAGGTGGTGTTTACTGGTTCTTGGAACTACTCAAAATTTCCGCTACCGGTTCTCCAGAACCTGCTAAATACCACCTCTGGGGTGGGGGAATATTTAAAAAAAATATAAAATAGGTGGAGACAAAAATAATAATATTGTGATGTTTAACATTATTTAAAAATTACATTTCTCTCTCTCTTTTGCACATAAATATAAAAATAAAGGGATTTTCTTACCTCAATTGATTTCTGAGTTTAAAATGAATTAAGACTTAACATGACTCTTCTCACCTTTTTCATACATGTAAATACTGTACATATAAAACACACATATAAAGGACCTTGCATGAAGAAAGAAAGACATGAACATTCATTTCCAGTAGACAGCAGAAATCAAAAAGGATAACAGAGCTATTCCACTGCACCTATGATTCTGGTGATAACAATAAAAATAAGGCTGACAAAAGATTTTAGCTTAACCCAACCTTCTCTAACCTGATGATATTTACTGTAGGACAGCTCTTTGGACAGCTACTCCTATGATTTGTGCTAAAGCCTTGATTAGTTTCAAATGTGTAAGTACAATTGTCAGTACAATTTTGGGAACAGATCAGGTGGGTTGCTGCTGGTTCGGCCCAGATGGGCCGAACTGTAGCAGCAGTGGGAGGCTCCACCCACCTACCCAAATGCTTCTGTGCATGTGCAAAAGCATCGCATGCACGTGGGAGCGTGCGGGGGAGTGTGCCCAAACTGGTAGTAAAAAATTAGCAACCCACCTCTGGAACAAATATTACATTAAGGAATTGAATGTGAAGTTTGAGATTTTTTTGAGATTTTATTAACATTTATAGGCCGCCCTTTTCCCTGAGGGGACTCNGCCGGAACAGAGGACCTTGGTGGAAACCATTATGACAGTTGCTAATATCTAACAACTTTGTTGATTTTTTAATCTTTGAAAATGTGTCATTTTCCATCCAAGAAGCTTCTTCAGCTCCAACCGAAGAACTGAAGAAGCTTCTTGGATGAGAAGTGACATGTTTTCAAACAAAAAAAACCCAAGAAAGTCCAGTTGCCTTTTGAAAAAAACAAAAACCTTTGGTGCAATGTAAAATTGTACCCTACTGTGGAGATTTCCTAGGTCTGAAATATAATTAAATGTTTTCTTTTAAATCAACAATGAAGTTTCCTTGTGGAAGTGAAATGTCGAGCACTGAACTAATTTAATGACTTTGAATGTTCCCAAATATTCTACTTGCTGGGGCAATGAAATTGATGAATGCTTTCCATCCTATGTTTGTCAGAGAGGTAAATATGCCAGGTTGTCTGTATTTTAACTTTCACATAACCTAAGAAAGAAAGAAAGGGAGATTGAGAAGAAAAGGTTTTGTGATGTATAGAAGCTATACACTAGACCATGTAGCAAGATATATTTATAGAAACCTATGCTAAAATTAATTTGATAATCTTCAAGGTATCATAATATTCTGTGTCTGTGACAAATACAGTTTATTTTAAGCCTAATTGTTGTCTGTTCATGAATTGTAACCATGAAATATAGCTGTAATTCAATTTCACGATGAATGGAGTATAGCTATTACTAGGTACCCTCACTAATGTTATCCTGAGGTTATGAGGTTCTGGGAACCCTTTAGATACAGCACCTCTAAGCACCGTTGGATAAAGTTGCTGGCTTTTATTCAAGCATTTATTGTACTATAGGACCTCGGCACAGGCCAAGTACATTATAGAGCCCCATTTTTTGCACCAAGTTATGATTTGGACAAGCGATATCTGCAAGAGGTATCAAGAGTGCATGTTGTGTCATTACCAACCACTGCCCCTTTTGGATGTTGTGATGGTACCATGAAACCATCTTAAATAACTGATAAATTTTAATTTAACTATATTCTCTTCTTCTCTTTTTTCTCTTCCACCTCTGAATAGTTCTTGATTTAATTGTCTTTTTCCATCTAGGCTTTCACTTAATTTTGGTGACATTGACAATTTGAAAGGATTTGTTATCAGGTATGTTTTCAAATATTATCTCCACAGCATTATTACATTAAAACTATACTGTTAAGCCTATCTCCATTATGATAAGGTGAAAATGTGAAAACATGCCACTGTTGCAATAAATATAATTTCTTTTGAGGCAAGAATCTGCAGGAATTAAAGACCCATTCATTTCAGTACAAATATTTATTCCTCAGTTGAAATTATCATGACTTAATAGTGCTTAATTTTGGAAGGCAATATCCATAGGCACAGTTGGATGTTATCAAAATTTAAGACTCTAATTGCAAATATAGTTAGCGTATTTCACTTTTGTGCATTGTAAAGATCACGTATTTGGAGCAAATAGTTTATTATCCTGCACTATGCTTTTATTTATTTCCGCTGTCTTAATTTTTTAATGAAAATGTATTTTTATGATGTTTGGTAGTTATGTTTCCTTATTTTGCAATATTACGTATGCTATGCTGGGTTTTCAGTTTAAAATATGTACATATGAGTTTTCAAAATTCCAAATTGCTCTACGAAATTTTGCTAAAAAGGTGATATATGTGTTTTACATATTAATATATGTAAATAAGTGCACTACATGAACATCCACTAAAATTTATCCTCTTGTTTTTCTAGCCTTTAATTTAGGCAGTGCTTTTAAGGTACCAGACACATAAAATGTCAAGGCTGTTATATTATTTATCTAGAAATATATTTATGATAAGTTTTAAAAGGAATATTTGCAAACAGCAACAACCTACTCCTGCCTTCTTTTCCATTATATTGATTTTCTGGCAGTTTAGAGTATTTTTAGTGTTTAACATTGAAAACGAAGAATTGAAAGGCATACATTCTGGATCAACTAGGAAATCTCATACAATAATAATATGAAGTTGGTATGACTTTATGAGGTTTATTTACAAATATAAACAAAAGATGGCAAAATCTACTGCAATTATTTTTCTAATTTCCCCTGGCAGATTCATTCTGACAAACAGTTACTACAAGCTCTCCATTCAAAATTGGTTTACCTTACACAGAATCCAGCTTATTTACAATCAATCTGTACAAGCAACATTCAATGCAACACGAATACATGCACCAGCAATCTATTCTTATCACTGTGAACATGTTAGCAACTTGCAGAGATATGATGCACTATTAACACCCAGCTCTGCAAATGATGAAGCCAAGCACTGGGAAGTTACTTTTATTGACTTTCAGGTAATGTATGGAAAAACCAAACTTTGAATAAGAAAAAAGCACTTGTCTTGTTCTTATAGACTTGCAATGGGAGTCTAAGAATTATTCAGAAGTCTCTCTCACTGTGTGCAATAAATGTCTTCAGTTATTAAGTATTAGCTGCCACACTGATGGGGGCCTAACTATTGTCCTCTTTCAAGACTTGGATGTGTGAACTTTTGAGATTTTATATATGAGACAATTTATAAAAATATCAATAAACTTTCCAAAAGAATGATAGCTTGTATCATAAATGTAAATTGGGGAGAAAGAACATGAGATGATTTAGGCCATAATGAAGTTTGAATCATAATATAAAAACATTTCATTAAAAAATAACTGTACTTACTCTGTATTTAAGTATTCATAGAAATGTGTTCTGACCCCCCTCGTCCCACACCAACACACACTCTGAGCCNCACTTCAGCTGACTGCTAGTTCTGCAGCTCGGCGGTTCAAATCTCACCGGCTCAGGGTTGACTCAGCCTTCCATCCTTCCGAGGTGGGTAAAATGAGGACCCAGATTGTGGGGGCAATATGACGACTCTGTAAACCGCTTAGAGAGGGCTGAAAGCCCTATGAAGCAGTATATAAGTCTAACTGCTGTTCCTATTGTTATTGCTATGACCAGAATCACTACTACATATAAGGAATTGAATTGAAAAGTAGTAACAGGAATTTCAGGATGGTCGGTATATTTACTCACCAACTCTTGGATTTATATGCAAGTTAGGGTTTGCACTAATAAATAGTTACTTATTGCCTAGCAAAAACAATATGTGGACAAGAGAAGCACAATGCTCTTCTGAATTTCAAAATCCTCAGCGGTATCTATGAGTTTGCTTCAAAGGTGGGTTGCTGTTGGTTTGGCGTGGTTTGGTAGTGGCCTGGAGCAGCTGAGAGCGAATTGGTACGGTGGCTCTTTTGGCCCACCCATCAGTGCTCTATAGCTGTTTTAGCAAAAAGCAAATTACGCATGCATGCACGCACACGACACTTGCGCAAGCCCAAATAATTAGCTCGTTGTCACAGGGGTGGTGTATTGTGCATGCGTGCAGTGCAAGTCAGGCACCCATGCAAACGGAACACGCATGAATGCGATCAGTGAACCGGTAGTGAAGCTAAGTGAAACCCACCATTGGTTTGCTTTGAGATATTTTAATAAATTTTCAAACCCACAGTGATAACTATGGGTATATTATGGATACTCTAGTAAAATGCAAACATTTTGTTCACTTAAATTTATTGGCCATCCAATTCCAGTGGACTTTGGATGGTGTAATATGCATTTCCTAGAAAGCTTGTGGCTTTTCTTAAGATCTCTAATGTGACCTTTAATTGATAAGCTGATTAAATGCTAAATACTGACTAAAAAGATTAGCATACAGCAGATTTAATGTTGAGTGCAGTGACTGGCGCAACAGTCAAAATGACAGTTGGTCATCAGCCCAAACTGGTTGCCTCCTTTGACCCAGGCTGGGTGGGAATATAGCATGTGCCAGCTGTCCATTTAACAGCTTTTGCTCTAGCTATCTATGTGAGGCTTGCATAAGAGACCTATCAGTTTGCTTAACTCAATTTTCTGGGTTTATATGGCAAAATGAACCTTATTCAGACTGGGCTCACACAAAAGATTCACCTAGAAGGTGATTGGATGGCTTGTGATGCAATATACAGATAATCCTCAACTTGCAACTGTTCACTTAGTGACCAAAGTTACAACGGCATTGGAAAAAGTGACTTATGACCATTTTACATACTTAACGACTGTTGCGGCATCCCCGTGGCCACGTGAGCAAACTTCAGATGCTTCGCAACTGACTCATATGTGTGACATTTGCAGTGCCTTGGTGACATGTGATCAGCTTCTGCAACCTTCTGACAAGCAAAATCAATGGGGAAACTAGATTGACTTAGCAACCATGTTACTAACTTAACACCTGCAGTGATTCACTTAACAAATGTGACAAGAAAAGTGGTAAAATGGGGCAAAATTCAGAACAAATGTTTCATTTAGCAACAGAAATTTTGGACTCAATTATGGTCGTAAGTCGAGGACTACCTGTATCATAAAAGTGTGAAATAAGGGTAAAAGTTTCCCTGTGCAGTTGTGTCCAACTCTAGGGAACTGGGAAGAGTTTTGCAACAGTTCTATTTAAATGCAATAACTACCGCTAGTCTCGCAGGTATTTATCAGACTCCAGCTAAAGTCTATTTTAACCTCCTGCCAGTGACCTGCATATTTCTCCACTGGCAGAGTTTCATCCTGAGACCATGAAATGCATTTGTTTACGAGCAACATTTGGCCTCCTTTTGTTTGGTGTTTAGGATATTTTCAGAAACATCTCTTAAATGAGTATTTTCATCTTGATTTTTATTCATGGATTTAATGTTTTGTTTTCTGGTTTTGTTTTTAAAATTTTATCCATACTTACCAGGATGCTTACCAGAGTGGATAAATATCAAATACATAAAATGAATCCACTTAACAAAACCTGTTGATTTACCAGTAGTTTTATCACATGAAGCTTCAGTCTAAATTCAGTATGGGGAACTTTTTCCACTAAAAGGATGTTTAAACTTTTAAATAGTTACATCATTTCACCAATTATATTGTAGTTTGAAAGTAGCAAATATTGCTTTCCTGCAGTTTAAGTAAGGTACTTTTTAAAAAAAAACTGTTGCTCAAATACTACTTTTGTGTCTGTTTCTTTGCAGGTTGTTTGTATTCTCTGATCAAGATCCACTCCAGAGAAATGGTAAGGCTTTAATTGTCTCCTGCAAATTGTCACTTCCTGAAAAAATAAAGGTTCAAAAAATTTACAGAGGAGTTTCAGGTGACTATAGGTCACCAACAGATAGTTTAATTAATTCAAACATTTTTAACCTTTCTGTTCTGTCAGAAATATTCCTTCAGTAGCTTAGGAGCGATTAATAGCAAAGATATTCAGGGATACAAGCTAAATACAACACCAAAGGAAAATATGGATGGGCAGGGAAGCCATAACAAACCAAGCAATAGTTCTTAGAATAGTTCATCAATTGAAAGCAGTTCAAAGAACTGGATCACATTAGATCTTATGTTTCAGTAGATTTAATGGAATGAGTCTACTTTTTACTTTTCTTCTGCTACAGTGGTTGCATCTACCATATTTTTTGGAGTATATGACACACCTTTCCCCCCCCCCCAAAAGGGTGAAAATCTAGGTGCATCTTATACACTGAATGCAGCATTTTTGGCCTCCCGAAACCCCACCCCCTTCGCAAAAATGGATGTGTAGAGGTTTTGGGAGGCTTGTAGAGTGCTCCTGGGAGTTGAGGACAACAAAAAATAGTCATTTTTTTTGTTCATTTTGCCCCCCCTCCCGGCTCCCAGGAGCACTCTACAAGCTTCCCAAGCTTATCGTGCCCTGTTTTTTTTGCAAAAAATGGGCCCGCTGTTGTGAAAATTGGGGAGTTTTTTGCTCATCTCCCCCAACCCTAGAAGCACTTTGCAGGCCTCTCAAACTCTCTACATGCCACTTTTTCACAAAAAATGAGGCATGCAGAGGGTTTGGGAGATCTGCAGAGTGCAAAACCTTTTTTTTAAAAAAATTACCTCTTCAGAATCTTGGTGCGTCTTATATTCTGGTGTGTCTTATACTCCAAAAAATATGGTAATTAGTTTATAAGGGAGTTATGAATGAAAAATAGGAGATGTAGCCACAGTGAGATCCCCTAACCCACTAATACTTCTTCCCTTTCTCTTTTCCTTGGCTGGAATGCTGAATGGAAAATGCATACCTAAAGGGCATGAAATGCTATTTCCTTGAAATGCAGGTTGTCCTTGACGTGCAACCATTCATTTATCAACCATTTGAAGTTACAACATCCATTTAAAAAGTAACAACAGGTCCTCATATTGATGATTGTTAAAGCAGCCCCATAGTAGTAGACAAATAGATGAGAGAAGATGCTTTGTGTTTATAACAGTCCATAATACAGTTGATTCACCAGGTTCCTAAACAAGATACCTGAGTGTTAAGAATTGTTCATACTAATGAAAGGCAGTCGAAGACTATACCTCTTTGTCTTCTACAGGTCTACAGTATCAATGACATACAGATAAACTTTTAAATACCCATATATAGTCTTTTAAAAAAGATTGGCTCAAATTCTTCACCATGTTGGTTTTGTGTTAAACCACATCTGATTGATAAGTTGACTGCCTCAAAACACACACACACACACACACACACACACACACAC